AAATTGAGTTAATCGAGGTAAAAATTCAAAGTATTTTGTACTACGGGAAATCGTCTTTTCGACCTGCAAATCATCATAACTTTCAAGTTTTTCAACCGATTGCAATTTTGCGAGATGCTGTTTTTATAGAAAGTCGCACGTTTTTGAACAAATTTCAAAATTTCCAAATCGGCCCGATATTAACAGTTGTTCAGAAAATTTCCACTTACAAAAAGTAGTTTTTTCCGAAAAAAATGCGACCTTAAATCCACAAAGAAAACATTGATAGCATTTGTCTTGAACTCTCGTTTTTCCATCCTCAGATTCTTATGACTTTCAAGATTCTCAACTGATTTCAAGTGTGCAAAATACGATTTTTAGACTCGCTCGCTTTAGCATGAATTTCCAATGCTCCAAATCGGGCCCGTATTAAGCGAGCTACTTATTTATTCACGCTGAAGAATCTGATGCAATCACAGCTAAATATTCATAATATGCGTGTCATTCGCGTTGTTGTTTGCCATCATACAAAGTATTTTTTGCTTAAAGTATTTATGAAATTAGAAAAAAAATCACCCCCTTGAATCCGCCCTTCAAAAGCGCTTTGTATGTATTCATTGATGGGAATAATAGAATTATCGTCAACAAAACAGACGTTTGAAATTGGCAAAATAGTTTGGGGAAATTCCGACAGATATGAAACGATAATTCACATTTCTATACAAATATATCTATCATATCAACTTTGCACATTTTTACGTGAAAACTGCCAGTTTCAACTAACTTTTCAACCGGTTCTAAACCCAAAGTATTAAATAGATAATTCATACAATAAAAACAAAAGGGTTGAAGATTATTTGCGGAGATCTTCACAAAGAGCGAAGTAAATGCGCGTTGCAACGCTTGGGAGAGATTAAAATCTGACCAATATTACATTATTGCTTATAGAATCATCCTGAAAAAGTGACTTTTTTCCTCCATCTAGAGAAATGGCGCAAATTTTGAGTCTGCGGATTATGCGACAATTATTTTAAAACTCCTGGAAAATAGTATGTATTTCCGAACCCCATGACGCGTCAGGGACAACCCCGCTTAATAAATATACCCAGACAATATTGCATGTCGGAAATTCGAGAAAGTAGACCAATTAACCTTAACCTTTAAGCTTCTTTGCTGTGCAAATTGCGCGGATTAACTTAATTAATTTTGTTCGCTTTTTTGTTGCTTAATTTAGTCCATAAATTCCAACTGGAAACCTGCAATTTTAGCCCTGCGGCCAGTCTAGTTGAAGGTAATTGAGTCAAAAGTTCGGATTTTTACTGTCAAAGTTTTGCCAAATACTTGTGTAGGTACTTGACTGTAAACATAAAATGTTTTGAGCGACATTTTTATAATTATAAAACATGTTTTTCGGTGTTTTTGTTGTTCCTAAACTACTAAGCGCGACTTCAAATTGTGCTAAATAGGGTTTATACAAAAATCGAAATTTTAGAAAACCGGTTTTCGAATAGTAATTTCTCCAAAAACCCGGTTTTAACCGGTTTCGAATTTTCATAAAAAAATGCAGAGTGATTAAAAGCAGTTTTTGACTGAAATTTTTTACTGTTCAATTTTATTGATATGAAAATTTGTTTATGCAATTGAGTAGAACAAAGAAATAATAGTTTACCAGGATTAAATAATTTTAAAAACAATTATTTGTTGTTTAAGCATAATAACCACTATAAGGATGTAAATATTTTTATAAGAGTGAAACTAGTTATTCAGCAAAGAGGTTGAATAAATAAAAACAACATATTTTCATTTTTTATAATAACCATATTATTTTTTTTAAAAACAATGTTATTAGATACAGATGGATACTTATTAAAAACAATTAGAAAATATATAACGGTGTATCATATAATGTAAATTATAATCAAAGCCGAAAGACAAGAGTAAATAAACTTTATGCATACATACTTATTCAAATCAATATATATAATACATAAATAATCTTTATTTCCTACAGAAAAAGGCTATCGACCCAATCGGTATTCCTGCCCTTATTAAAATCAATTTTACTTTTAAAGACAATTAAGCAAAGGACCGAGTATTTTTTATTCCGGCAATTTTAATACAAATTTAAATATTCTATTTATTTTTTTGTTTAATGAAATATGATTTCAGAAAACAGAGGACGTATATCGATTTGCTACTTAGCCGTGTCCTTAATTTATTCACAAAATTCCCCGAAATAGAAAATGCCCTCTCACTTGCAACCGAACTAGGCTTAATCGTTTTTAAAGCCTGATATAATAATTATACATTTTTTGTCCTGTTATTTGTGGCTTCTAGAGCCAAAAACTCTTTTCTTCGAGTTTGAGTAGAGGAAGTCACTTCTTCCGGTTCCTTTAAATATTTATTAATTGCCACTTCCATAGCATTTTTCCATAAAACATTGTCTTGCTCTTGAATATCGCTTTGATCGCGTTTTTGAATATCACATTCTTCCCCTGTAGAATAATCTTTATATAATCTTGATAATACTTGTCCGGATAACTTAATAATGTCACTTTTCTAATGGAAGGAATTTATTAGAAGATTTCGTTAAAACAGTTTGAGAATTTTGTAAATAAAGGATAAGTGTAACTAATACTGTATCTATTCTTTCTTCAATCCATGCCTTTATAGCGTGTAATAATTTCTGAGTAATTTCGGATTTCAAATTTGTACTTCACCCAGCAAAAATTCAAATATACCTTCACTTGTTAAAAAAATTGCGTCTTGTCTACCTAAAGCTTCGGCTGCTAATTTTATCGGACCTAAAACTTTAACGAGTTCTACAACTTTGTAATATTCTTCTTCAGCTTCATTCCACATATGGGCATTAAGGTCATTCAGAGTTAAAACTACACATTCTTTTAGGTGTACAAATCTTTCAAACATGGCCTCTAAACTATTCCATCTTGTTTTACAGTCAAGAATAAGATTATATTCTTTCTCGTATTTCCGTTTCACGTGATTCTGAAGAATGCTATTTTTGACAGGGGATTTTCTAAAATATTTGCAAATTTTTGTTACTTTACAAATTACAACATTTTTATAATCATCCAATAATTCAGGAACAGGTAATTTATAATTGTTTATGTCAAGAGAATGTAATTCATTGTTAGATTGGTCATGCTCAGAGTCCTCACTTGTAGGATTTAAATCTGTTTCCAATGGACTTTTATTTTTATTATATAATATAACTATATAATGTAACTGCCAAGTGTATGGCATGTGAATAACACAGTTTATTAATCGCTGGTGATGTGGAAAATTTTTTCATAACAGCAGCACCATCATTTGTTGATGCAACTAAAGTTTTTGATTTTTGGAATGGAAAAATGTGCCCTTTATTCTTCATACAATTTAATTAATTTATAGTTTCATAAAACTTATAAATAAGATTCATAACTCTAGAATTATTTTGTGGTAAGCAATAATTTCGTTGTTGCAATGATTCTCGTATGAACGAGCTATTTGTTATGCAATTAATAGATGGTCCATCCAATGCAGCAAGCTTTGATACAATTTCTTCTCAACTAGTCCTTTTCACAAAGTTAAGAATACTTGTTTGTGAACTCGGGCCGGCATCAGATGATGTTTTCTCGGTTATTTTATCATGCACTGTTTTCTAAACGATTATGTAGACTTATTGTGCTTGATCCTTCGCAAGTAAGCATTTAATTGCAGTAAATATAACGGACTTTTT